TACTATATCTAAATAACTATGATAATTCTTACAAATATAATTATTCATAAAGATTGCATCATAATCTTTTACAGTTGTTTATTTTTTCAAATGTTAATATAATTAATAGTGATTTATATAAATTTATATAAATTTAGCTTTTATAATATATAAAAAATTTTTAATTATTTACAGTAAAACACGAAAGTGATAAAATCTCATTATTGCGAATTTCTTTTAAAAATTCACAAACAAGAATATCAATAAAGCTCATTCATATTTGTTTACATTGAGATACTGAAAAATCGTTCTCGATCGATTGTCTTCTTCGAATCAGTTAATTGTACATAATTATATGTATAATACCTTGAATCAGTTCGCAAGTTACTACATATATAATAAAGTCATATCTTTATCTTCTTTAAAATAAAATAAAATATCAGTTTTAAACATAGTAATCACATGTTATAAACAAAATTACAAAAGAATAAAGCAAAACTAAATAATCTCTACTACACAAAAAAATATATTTGCTTATTATATATGCTTAAAAAAGAATCACAATATTGTATTATAATTAAATAAAATACTTTATATCATTTATGGATCTAAAAACTAAATAAATGCATCAACTTGATTTAGATTCCCAATTTCTCTCTAATATCTTCACATATTTAAGCAGAATTCAACTTTTCTTATTATAAACGGTAGAAAACTGCAAGTTTCAAAATTATGAACAAAACTAAAACTACTTGGTGCATTTAAATATGTTTTTATTTTATTGATTATTTATTTAATGCTTATGAGAATTGACCACAATCTGCTATCATAATCTTTTGATATGTCTTCCCACTTGATGAACCATAACTTTCAATTTTTCTTACAACATCCATTCCATCAAGAATACTCCCAAACACAACATGTTTATTGTCCAACCAAGGAGTTTTTACAGTAGTAATAAAAAATTGCGAGCCATTTGTATTTGGGCCAGAATTTGCCATTGATAATGTACCTGAGGAAGTATGTTTGAGTTCAAAATTCTCATCTTCAAACTTTTCTCCAAAGATGGATTTTCCACCTGTACCATTGTGATTCGTAAAATCACCTCCTTGACACATGAAATTTGGAATTATACGATGGAAATAGCTTCCTTTATAACCATAACCTTTCTCTCCTGTACATAAGGCACGAAAATTTTCTGATGTCTTTGGCACAACGTCAGTCCGTAATTGCATTATAATTCGTCCCAGTGGTTTATCATCCGTAGACATATCGAAGTATACTAGTGGCAAGTTCATCTTGTATTCGTAACCATTCATCAGTACAGTAGAAACTAGAAAGAAGAAACAATAAAAATTATACATTATATAACTTTATAATAAAAATCAAACAGATTGAATTTCAATAAGAATGTTAAGAGAGTTTCGCTTTGTACATTATTTTTATTACTTATGAACAATGTACTTACAAGAAATTTATATTAATTATAAAAATAATGAATTTTAGTTTTCGTTATAAAAATCCAAACCAATTTGTATCAAGAATGTTCATATAATTTTTATATCACTTCGTATATTTAATTAAAATTCGCTTTCTTTTGTATAACTCGTCTATAACCTCTTTTCTCTTTTTTCTTTTCCTTTAGCTGTTTACTTCAAAAGAATAATTAACATTTCTTTGCGTAATTTTTCATAATTTCTTTTCGAAATTCGTTCCAACTCGCACCGTATCACAGAACTTTTTAAATCACTATACGTACTTTATAATGCTGAATTTACATCATGGGTGTATATATATATCTATTATTTTGAAGATCCACGTGCTTCTGCACAAACGAGAATTTTCCAAAACACAAGCTCCAATCAGCTTCAATAAGTTTTGAAATTCTCTACTGTATGATTGGTCAACTGGCTTACCCACCAATCACTAGATGAAATTCGGTAAGTCTGTTCGTTTCCTTGAACGAGGTATTATAAAGAGCAGTTTTCATAGGTATATATTCTGAATCCTCTTTTATCCATAAAGGCGCTTTTACTATAAGTATATTAGTTATGTTACTAATATATGCTTAAAAATGCGTTTAAAAGAAAATTCAGAATATGGGTCATAATCCATTCTTATTTTAAGACCGTCTTGTAATGTCCTAAGGCTACGTTCCAAAATTTTCTCTCCAAGGAATATTTTATTCTATATGTATAGTATACGTTACGTGTACTATATATTTTGAATAAAATTTTCCTCGGAGAGGAAGTTTTGGAACATAGCTTAATTGTAAAATATTACTAAGACCGGTATTTATAGTCAGATCTTATATTCAAGACCGTCTTAAGTGCAATCTTAAGAAGTTACGAACCAATCGGAGAACTATATCAGCTTCTTAAGATTATTACTTAAAATGGTCTTGAAATAAGAATCGACTATGAATACCGGCCTAAGACTGTACTCTTAAGACAATCTTGAATATAAGATCCAACTATGAATACTGGCCGGTGAGTGGTTGTAATATTGAATGCACTCATTCTTACATCGGGCGCATCCAGAAGTCACGACCGCTCACTGAGCGCTCAGTAAACGCTTTTGCATCTGATTGGCATATGCTGTTAGAACTAAAAAATATAGACCAAATAGATACAAAAGCTCACTGAGCACTCAGAGAGCGATCGTGCTTCTGGATGCACCTATTAAAAGAAGTTTGTTCGCGTCACATGCTTCAACATACTCCAACGCGTTCGTGAGTACAGAAGCTATGGTAGAGAAGCATGTTAGAGCATGCAATGCAAACGAGCCTTAAAATTATTTTAAATATCATCTTATGTCATGAACCAATCAGAAAATCGCATTAGCATCTTAAGAAATTACTTAATACGATCTTAAAATAAAAATAGATTATAAATATCGATTTCAGAATAAACATATCAAAATAATTTCAAAATTTGTATGTACTTATAATATATAGTTTATGTATATCCGAATATCCAATAGGCAAATTATATAAATGTGTAAAATAAAATAAAAGCAGAATATATGTAAGAAATGGGAGGACTCTGATTGCACACATATTGCGCACATCGCAATTTAAAGTAAAATATTCTTATTGATAAAACAAAAAAAATTACTAGGAATCAGTTGATGTGTGTGGTTTATGCAATCGGGAATGTAGACAAATGAGACCTTCCCTAAGAAAATAGGTATTGTTATATTACATAAATTTATAGATTATGAGACATTTAACATTTTTTTGCATAAATCAACTTAAATATTTAAATTAAAGTTTAATTATTTTAATAAAAAAATGAAATATATCACTGTATATATGAATAAGATAAAAGAATTATTAAACAATACAAATACATCGCAACAATACAAATATATAAAAAATATATATATATCTACATCTTTTTTAATGTAAAATGCTATTTAATTTTTGTCATTATAAAAATTAAAAATATTTAAAAATTAAAGATGGGGGCGGAGATGTATTGAAAAATATATTTTCAAAAAAATATGCTCTGTTGTAAAGCACACTTAAAACCATAAAACACTTATTAAACATTTTCTTATATCTTTCACAGTTTAGATAATATATACCTACATTCTGAAAGAAAAAAAATCAGAGTTTTATCAAGAAAAGATTTTTCTCTCTTAATGCCTGCACTCAGCATTTATAAAAAAAAATCGTATCTCACTTATTTTCGTCTATTTTTTTTAACATATTATTCCAAAGTTCTTTAATGTAAGCTTATTATAAATTATTATTTTTCCAAAGCTTATTAAAATCAGGAAGGATTAATTTAGGTTGTGTCTCCTCGTTAATACTTAATAAAATATTATAAAAAATATCACCTCAGTCACAGACACATCTATATATTCGAATTCGAATCTCCCGAATTCCGTGCAAGCGTCCTTCTAATACGAGTATAATTAAACTACCGAGGCATGTCCATATGTAACAATATTTATCGAAGGTATAATTAGCGCGCAGTTATATAATATTTGGCAAAAAAAATTTATTTAAATGTATATAGATGTATTATTCTAACATTTAACTTTAACCGTAATTGACGCTTAATTCTCTTACAAAAAGTTAATATATTTATTCATTTGTTTTAATCTTAATATTGTCACATATTTTAATTATATTTACAATTAGAATTAAAACAATCCGTCTTTCTTCAATACAACGGACTCTAAGTTCATCGGGGTTGTAAATTCAAGGATATAGTCCAAAGATATAATGTATGTAATATTAACTAAAATAATTGATTTTATTTAACTTGTAAAAATAATTGTTCATCGCATTTGATTTCTTTTGCTTTTATTTAACTTGTAAAAATAATTTTTCATCGCATTTGATTTCTTTTGATCGCATGTTCAAAAAACAGAAAAATTTTCTATCGTTTTGTGATTTGCAATAATTAATAAAAATTTTCAAATAAGCATGCATTTAAAAAAATGTATATAAACACGCAGTGTTTAGATAAAACAGCATTATATTTAATAACCTACTTAGGCGGTGAAAGTCCAAAATCAGATACAGGATGTCTTTGGCCGATATTCATAGTCAGATCTTATATTCAAGACCGTCTTAAATATAATCTTAAGAAGTAACGAATCAATCAGAGGATATTAGTGTCTTAAGACATTACTTAAGATAGTCTTAGGCTACGTTCTAAAATTTCCTCCCCGAGGAAGATTTTACTCTACATGCTAGTAATATAATATAAATTTTTTTTGCCAAATATTATATAATTGCGAGCTAATTATACATATAGTATACGGCCCATATTCAGAACGCGCTTTTATCGTTAAAATCGCGTTTTTATCTCTAAAATTCTATAGTATAGTAACGTATTAGAAGTAACATAAATTATAGCATGTTAGCCCGCTAACATCATTGTAAGCGCGTTCTGAATACGGGCCTATGTGTCCTATATATTTCGAGTAAAATTTTTCTCCGATAGAAAGTTTTGGTTAGCCTTGAAATATTTCCCTTTGTCCTTTTTATGTCCTTGAACGATGTCTTGTTTGATTAGCGGCACATGCCGCTGCAGGTTGCTGCTATTAGACACGCGACGAGGCATTGTTGCGCCTTCTAGTGGTGGGGAGAGGCGAGGAGGGGAAATAATCTTTCAGACTTTCAGGCTCGCAGTCATGGTCACTTCCTGGTTTTTTCTTAGCTCGGTGCTTGTAGGCACGTAGACAAAACGGAGAAAACGGATAGATATTTTATAAAAGACGGATATGTTTTATCTCGACTCGAGTATTGACTTTTTGAAAGCGTTGCCGACTTCAACTGTGCCTAATACGACTGGTCAAGTAATCTTGTTAAGAGAACCAAGGTTAACTAAAAATGAAGAAGGAGCAACGGTATGAAAGATTCTTTCTCCTTTTCTTTGCTCAAGTAACTCCTAGGTCCAAATAACTGCGCGATCAGTCATCTCTGTGGAAGATTAAAAGAAATAAAGTAACATTTTATAAATATTCAATAGAAAATAAATTAAGATTTATTTGCATATTTCGCCTATTTTTAATTTATTATAATTTTTTAAATGATTATTTATAAAATAAGAAATTTTGAACATTTTTCTATAGAGAGACTTTATATAATATACTGTATAAAAAAACAGCAGATATATAAAAGTCTCGACAGTGCCCCAGCAGATTCGAGGTACAGCAAAGGGATGCACAAGTCTTCTCTTGCTGTCATATTTCACAATTTATTTTCTCCTATATGTATAATGAGCCTTCTACGATAAAACCTTAAATATAATGCGGAGGAAGACCGATAGCGATAGAAATAACACGAATCGCTATAGCTATCGACGTTAAACTGTAGGTGTCCCTTACTGTGTACGATCAACGTGCGCACTACAGGAATATGAGAGAAAAGAAAAATATAAAATAAATACTCTAATTATAGTATCTTCTTTTTTTTACGATAAGCCATTAGTCACAAATCAGAAGCTAAAGACTGTGATTGGTCAATTTTTAACTTCTGATTTATGACTAATAGCTTATCGTACACTGAGAAAAAAATATAGTTAATTTTAATAAATATTTTTAGTTCAATACTGCCAACTAAACATTTACTTACTACTTGAATAAAAAAAAAAGATTGTTAAATCAAATTAACTTTTCTTATATCAAATTAATATATTTTTATATTTAATAAATATTTAGTTGGTAGTATTTAACTAAAATATTTATTAAAATTGACTATATTTTTTTCAGTGTAGAAGGCCCGTAAGTTGTAAAGGCCATTTTCCATATCAGATACACTAGATATGTACGCTCCGTCTCAAAACATAACTGTGCATTTTTCCTGAAAACTTTCCATTAGCGCAGCAGGTATAGAAAACGCAGGAATATTTGTTCTGAAAGACCTTAATTCTTTTGGCAAAGAAATGAAATGCAGCAAAAAAAGGGTCTCTCAGGGAAATATACCTGTCTCTTGCTGGTCACTTCACAAAGAATGCGAGATTTCAAGCAAATACCTATTGTTAGCCTCAGCCTATTGTTAGGTGCATATATATATATGTAGAGGCCTAGTGCGGCAATTTCAAAGGCGAGTTTCGATATCAAAGATAGCTTTGACTTTAAAGGAGGCAGAGAAGCAATATGCTTTCCAACACAGTTGGAATCTTTCGGGAGAAAAGAAATCAGATCAATTCTCTTTGCAGTGGATATATTTACTTATAACAAGATCCTTGGATTTTCTGAAATTCAAATCTTGTATAATAATAATTATTTTTTACAAAAAATAATGATAACGCGTTGTTTTTATAATATTCTCAACTTTGCTTCTAATCCACATTATATGCATTAAGTATATATGCTCCGTCTAAAATCGACAGATGTGTCGAGGCATAGTGAAA